CTTGGTCAAGAACTTCGCTCTGGGCTACTCAGCACTTCGCTGTGGTTCTGCACCCTCAAATAATGGTTTGATGGAGTGAGGCATTTTTGTGTAAAGACCGCCACTGTGTCTGGAGCTCGGAAGGTGTAAAGGCTCTGCCCTCGGTGCACAGTTCGTCAATAGTGAAAATGTGGGCTGGGTGCTGATGGCATCCAACTCCTGCTCTCACTGGGGATCCAACTGATGACTCTGTTGCCGAGGAACCAGGTGCCTCCGACCACGGGAATGAATTTCCCATTCCTCTTTCCAGCCTTCTATAGGAAGCCTGCTCCTGTGAGCTCCTATCTTAACTGAAAATATTTCTGTTGCTACAATTTTCGTGCTAACGTGATTGTCAATTCAGAAATCATTACCATGGTTTTACATGGTTCTTTAGTGGATAGTGAAGCAAGTGTTAAGACAGATGCCTTGTGTTCTACGTGAGAGTACAGATTTCTTGAGGACAGCGGTGAATCTTTCTTCATTGTCCAATATCCATATGTTCTCATATGTCAACAATAAAAATAAAAAACCACTGGAGGACAGGGATTGGTTAACAATGACAACAGCTGTTTATGTTGCGTTTTCTGATCCTTATTCGTAAATTGTTCTGAAAAGAATGAAATGGATTGGAAAGTAGAGATGGAAGGTAGACTTTCTTTTGGAAACTCAGGGAGAGATCATTTTTAATTGAAAGGTATTTCTGTCCAGTGGGGTGGAGTCACTAATTTGGTCCAACGTTCAGCGCAGCTCTATTTTCTTCGATATTGGAAGATAGTCCCTATTTGGCTCTGTTCATTTGTTCAGCAGGCTCCGTTTACTGGATGCCCTTGTGATAGGATTAAGGATCCAAAGGTGAAATATAGCGTGATTTTTCTCTGTAGGTTTAGCTGCTCCAATCTGTGCACCTCACTCACAATCTTTTTTTTTTTTTTTTTTTTTTTGAGACAGAGTCTCGCTTATGTTGCCCAGGCTATGAGGTGAGTTGCCGTGCGCATCAGCTAGCTCACAGCAACTCAAACTCCTGGCGTCAGAATCCTCCTGCCTCAGCCTCCAAGTAGCTGGACTACAGCATTCGCCCGGGATGCCGTATTTTTTTGTGGGTATGTATTAGGTTGGCCGAATGTAAAAAAAAAAAAAAACTTGATGAATTAGACTTCATTAAAATTAAAAATATCTGTTCATCAAAAATACCATTATGTGAGTGAAAAGGCATGCCACAGATCAGAATAAGATTATTATTATATTATTAATATATAACTGTAAAGGCAAACCTTATCTATAATATATAAAGAAATCCCACAGATTAATAACAAAAGATAGACAATAAAATCTTTTAAAATGGCCCAAAGATTTGAACAAGTATTTCACGAAAGAGGCCCTCTAGATGGCCAATAAGGATATGAAAAAGTGTTACTTCATTAACTATGAAGAAAATACAAATCACATAGCACTACATCCCCAGGTGGGCTAAAATTAAAAGGACTGACAATAACCACATTTTGGCAAGAATGTGGAGCAATTGGCACTCTCATACACACTTGGAGGGAGGGTAACTTGATAACCACAACTTTAAGAAATGGGTAGTACCTACTAAAGCTAAACATAAGAAAAACCTATGACCCAGCAATTCCGTTTCTTAGATATACACCAAACTTAAACAAGCATTTATGTTTATCAAAAGTCATGTACAAGAATGTTCATAGAAGCTTTATTCATAATAGCCCCAAACTGGAAACCACCCCAATAACATCAACAATAGAATGGATAATGTGTGGTATATTCAGGCTATGGAACATTATAAAGCAATTAAAGGTAATGAACTACTCCTATATACAATAAAATGGATGAATTTCACAGACAGAATATGGAATGAAAGGAACCAGTCACAAATGAGTATACATTGTATGATTCCTCTTGAATGATGTTCAAAACAGATAAAACTAATCTGTTATGACACAGGTCGGAACAGTGGTTACTCCTGGAAATGATCATTGACTGGGAGGGAATGTGAGGAAGACTGTCAGGTGCTGGAATTTTCTGTATCTTGATCAGGGTGGTTCAAGATATTACTGCCAGAATAACCCTCTATGCCTCACTGGTCAGCCTGGGTTTTGTTCTAATTTTCTGTATGTGCAAGCTCCTTAAGGGAAGGTTACTTCTGTCATAGACTGTGCACCCCACAGCCTCTAGTACTGACCCAGGAAACTATAGTGGGTGCTCACTAAATCTATACCAACTGGCCATTTGTAAGAAGTGTAAATTAGTGGAGGCAAGCCTTGAGGACAGGGGCTGAGGAATGTTCTCCAATGTTCTCCCTTTCCCTTCCCATGAGAAAGAAAGACAGGGTGGTTTGGGTGCCAAATAATTGATCGACAAAGCCTATGGCAAACCAAGAGCCCCTTCAAAAAAATAAAATAAAAAGATACCCCTCTTCCCCAAAAGTGCATGAGTCTATCCAGGAATAGATCTGGTCTATCCAGAAATCTATGTGAGAATTCCCACCCCTGGCAGGGTTTCCAGCAAGCTTAAGGAAATACCAGAATAGTTCCTCAGAGCAAGCAACTTGTAGAAAGAAGGGTTATGTAACAACCTATATATACAGCCCATGTGAAGGGTTAAAGTCAGAGATGTTCTGAGTACATATTTTGGCTAAATGCTGAAGGGATAAATATTAAAGTCAATATTTGATTAGACTAAAGTTGACTATTACCAACATAGAATGAACTTCCAGGATATGACAATAAATCCGAACTCTCATAAATTTTTATTATTAATACTATTATAACTCAAATGTTTTAAAGAGTAGATCGATCATAGAAGTTCGACAGGCCGGGCACCGTGGCTCACGCCTATAATCCTAGCACTCTGGGAGACCGAGGCGGGAGGATTGCTCGAGGTCAGGAATTCGAAACCAGCCTGAGCAAGAGTGAGACCCCATCTCTATTATAAATAGAAAGAAATTAATTGGCCAACTAATATATATAGAAAAAATTGGCCGGGCATGGTGGCACATGCCTGTAGTGCCAGCTACTTGGGAGGCTGAGGCAGCAGGATTGCTTGAGCCCAGGAGTTTGAGGTTGCTGTGAGCCAGGCTGACGCCACGGCACTCACTCTAGCCTGGGCAACAAAGCGAGATTCTGTCTCAAAAATAAAAATAAAAATAGAAGTTTGACATACTGAAGGAACAATAATTTAATTTCTCAGTAATGACAACTGCTGGATAGTTCCTGTAGTCACTACAGCACACATTTATGATATTAAATACATGTTTAGCCAGGCACAGTGGCTCAAGCCTGTAATCCCAGCTACTTGGGGGAGGGAGGCAGGGGCTGAGGCCAAAAGATCACTCGAGTCCAGGAGTTCAAGACTTGCCTGGGCAACATAGCAAGACCTTGTCTAAAAACAATAAAATAAATAAATAAATACATGTTTACTTTCAACTGAGGACAATGAGGGGGAACATTTTATTTTTCCCGAATGACAATCCATGTCCTAGTTGTGCTAATTATTAATAGATATAATGATAACCTAGACAAACACATGATTCTTAATCACACACATTTGAGGAAGGTATAAATAATGCTGAAATAGGCATTTGGCTATTTGACTCCCTGAAGAATGAGGCCAAAGACAAATTTCAGTGCACTCATACATACAATAGGATGAAGACTGGCTGCTTTTTATCTCCCCTAAGAGCAAAACAAAAATATATATTTTTGTCTGAAGCAAGAAATCAGATTTTATGAAAGAGAAGGAAAAAAACCTTTCTTTCATAAGGACAATCAACAAATATCCCGTCCCCCTCCCCTCAAGGAGATCAGATAATGGAAGGGCCCAAGGAAGTGTTAAAACCAAGTCTTTTTTTCTTTTTTTTTGAGACAGAGTCTCACTCTGTTGCCCAGGCTAGAATGAGTGCTGTGGCACCAGCCTAGCTCACAGCAACCTCAAACTCCTGGGCTCAAGCAATCCTCCTGCCTCAGCCTCCCGAGTAGCTGGGACTACAGGCATGCGCCACCATGCCCGGCTAATTTTATATATATGTTAGTTGGCCAATTAATTTCTTTCTATTTATAGTAGAGATGGGGTCTCACCCTTGCCCAGGCTGGTTTCAAACTCCTAACCTCCAGCAATCCACCTGCCTCGGCCTCCCAGAGTGCTAGGATTACAGGTGTGAGCCATCAAGCCCAGCCAAAACCAAGTCTTTATCTTCAAGGGGCTCTCAGTCTTCTTGGAATGACAAATATCATCATACAAAGCTACTGTAAGTTAAATAGTCAAGTTCATAAGCATTAAAGAGCAAAAGTCAGGCCCACGACTGTATTCCTAGCACTCTGGGAGGCCGAGGTGTGCGGATCGTTTCAGCTCAGGAATTTGAGACCAGCCTGAGCAAGAGTGAGACCCCGTTTCTACTAAAAAATAGAATGAAATTGGCTGGACAACTAAAAATATATAGAAAAAAATTAGCCGGGCATGGTGGCACATGTCTGTAGTCCCAGCTACTTGGGAGGCTGAGGCAGGAGGAACGCTTGAGCCCAGAAGTTTGAGGTTGCTGTGAGCAAGGCTGATGCCATGGCACTCTAGCCCAGGCAACAGAGTGAGACTTTGCCTCAAAAAAAAAAAAGAAAAAGAGCAAAAGGCACAGACATCATTTAACATCAGAAGAGAAGCACTCCTCTGGAATTGGTGGCGCAAAGCCCTCTCTGGCACAGTGGTGATCAGTCTCAGGGTTGGAGACCTCCAGGTCTTCAACTGCACATTCCAGTAATAAACAGGTTGATGAAAGAAATGTGGCACACATACTAACATTTACCTACTTCCTATCTGCCATGCACTGCTCTAAGTACTTCACATGTTATAACCACTTAATCCTCAAAGAAAACCCTTATGCATTAGGTACTATCGTTACTGCCATTTTATTTTTATATGAAAAGACATTTTATTATTACTATTTTACTGTATAACATATTAGGGAATACACCAGATTACATTTCCCCAAATGGCAAATGAGGGACATTTCTCTCTGATTCCCTGAAGAACCTCAATATTATCTGTCCTTTGGAGGGTTCAGTTTCTTATGACAAGTGTGATACTGTCCACGAGGATACCAACGGTGCTTAGTAGTAAAGAACATTTTGCTAAGTTGTTCTATCATGGGTCCTTGCTCAAGGTTTTCACTTTTTTCTGCTAATCTGGTTTTCAGCATGTGATTATGTGTTTCTTCATTATTATTTATGCACAGGATCTGGTCGAGGGATAGGTTTTGTGTGTTCATATGGAATGTCCACCGAAGGGTGGTAGCATTCTATCGTCCTGCCATCGGATGTCAAAGCAAGCTCAACTTTGCAATTATAGTCATCTGGTAGAGAAGAATATGTAGATTTATGACAAACACAAGATAAAGCTCCATTTTGGATTGGAAATAAATGTTTCAAGATGGGTCTCTTTGATATCATCCATTTTACTGCTGCTGTGGCCATGGTGTTCAAGATGCTTATCAGGTAGTATGAAAAAAGATGTTTTAAAGAAGAACTGCTTTTAAAATCTGCTTCTAGGCACACCAATTTTCATTCCTTGACAGCTCCTCACCATGAGCCCACCATCTTGTTTCAATCCGGGTCCTATCATGACTGCCTTTTTAGAGATGAGGAAACCTTGCCCAAAGACTGACAGTGAGCTCAGTTATGAGCTGAGATTTGAACCTACATAAACCCAATCTACAGCCTGTGATGGCATTTGAACCCAAGTGAATCCAATCTAGAGCCTGTGAGCTTAAACTTTACACTATCCAGGTCTCCACCATGTACAGACTTCACATACAGGCCTATTTTAAAGTTATATGAAAATGGAGCTATCATCACTAAAATAAATAAATGTTTTATTAAATGTGGAGTAGTTCTTTTGGTCAGCATTATTTGTGTTTTCTCAATCAATAGACACCAAAAGTACCAGGAAATTATGTAACATTTTCTGGCATTACATTTTCAACACAAATTATACTGGTAATGTTCTAGCTCTTAGGTTGGGTAGTAGGTTCTCAGATTTCATTGTGTTGGTATGCTGTATAACATGTGTATGCATACATGTATTTACACATATTTATACACACATACTTATCTCACATTCTTTTGAATGATTCAAATACTACATAATTTTTTAAATGTTAAGTGCACTGGCAGCCTAAGAAGCTCAAAACATAAACTGTAAAAACAAAAGGTTTTTAAAGGATGTGTAAAGGATAGCCTCAGAGTTGGGGAGATAGCCAGGTAAACTCAGAAAGGCTCATTCTGGCAATAATGAAGCTTTAGACCCAGCATGAGTCACCTACAGAGTAAGGTGAATGATAAAAAGTGGGCTCTCTTCCTCTTACAAAAGGAGAAATTTTGGAAGAATTTTTGAGTAATACCTGTTAAACTATGTTTAATAAGAATACTAAGGCCGGGCGCAGTGGCTCACGCCTGTAATCCTAGCTCTCTGGGAGGTCGAGGCGGGTGGATGCTCAAGGTCGGAGTTGGAAACAGCCTGAGCAAGAGCGAGACCCGTTCTACTATAAATAGAAAGAAACTAATTGGCCAACTAATTATATAGAAAAATCAGCCGGGCATGGTGGCACATGCCTGTAGTCCAAGCTACTCGGGAGGCTAAGGCAGGAGATCGCTCGAAGCCAGGAGTTGAGGTTGCTTGTGAAGCTAGGCTGATGCCATTGGGCACTCACGTCTAGCCTACAGGCACAAAAAGCAAAGGAGGCTCGTGTCCTTCAAAAAAAAAAGAATACTAATTTAGGCCAAGTTCAGTGGTTCATTTCTATAATCCCAGCATTTTGAGAGGTCAAGAAGAGAGCATCTCTTGAGGCCAGGAGTTCAAGACCAGCCTAGGGAACACAGCAAGACACTATCTCTACAAAACAAAGGATTTTTTTTTAATTAGATGGGCGTGGTGGTGTGAGCCTATGGTCCTCGCTATTCTGGAGGCTAAGGTAGGAGGATCACTTGAGCCCAGGAGTTAGAGGTTGCTGTGAGCTATGAGTTATGATCTTGCATGCCACTATACTCCAGCCTGGGCAACAGAGCGAGACTCTGTTTCAAAAAAAAAAAAAATACCAATTTAAATGGGCTGGGGAAGGGGTGAGAAGATGGAGGAATGAGAATAAAACATCTGTGCACTTTCTACAGTGAGTATGTGTGAGTTTTACCATCAGAAAAATATAAACAACCAGGAAAAATTCTAGAAACAATAAGGTCCTCCTCCCGAATTCAAGACCCCAATGCCTGTAGCCCCCTCATTTACTGCTTCACTGAGTGGAGATAGAGCTTTCTCACTGGGAACCTTGGCCTCAGGCTCTTCCACCCAGTATCTCTGTTCTTAGCTCTCTGTCCGCATCTCCACCATAGTGCTTATCACATCAGAATAACGACCATTATTTACTAACCACTGGCTTAGAGGCTAACATGGTGCTTGATACAATACATTCATACCCTCTCTTTTCATCATCAAATAACCCTCACTCACACATATTACTAGCCCCATTTTATAGACAAGAAATTGAGACTTAAAGATTAAGTAACCTGTCCCAAATTAAACAGCTAGCACATGGGCAACCCAACTCTTTCCTTACACCAAAGCTCATGCTCTTTCCACCACTATTAAGTTATGTATTTATGCAATGGCAGGCACATCTTATAGTGCTCAATTAGTATGGGCTGAACAGAATTAAAGGAGTTGGACCAACACTGTCTACTTCCAATGAAGAAAAAGACGCAGAAGAGCATTACTCTAAAGGTCAACTCTTTTATTCCGACTTGTTTTGTCAAACAAATGGCCCTAGTATTAAAAGAAACTACCACACACGGAGAATCAGCAGGTGCATAAGCCAACCACAGGAGAAAACGGCCATCCCGCAAGCCAGCATGCCCCATCCTGGTTTCTTGGAGTTTGGGTGACCCTCCGCACTATTACTTCTGTAAAAAAAGAAATACATTTAACCCTACAGAAGCAAACCCCTTCCCCCACATCCCCTGAAGGTATCTCCAGCCCCTAACGAGACATTTCTTAGTTGTGGCTAAACTCATTTAGACTGTAAATTGCTGGAGAGAATGCTGGTTTTATTTCTTCTGCTTCACCTTCTAGTCAAGTTTCCTCAGAAGGAGCTATAATAATTAATCACGTTGATGATACTGAAATTTCATCTCCAGTAGCTCTTTCAATTACCTACCTAGATGAGGTCGTTTGCGTCCGACAGCACAGTGCCGGACAACTTAGCAAGAGCTCCCAAGAAAATGTTATTACTGGAATAAAAATTCATTCAGCCAATAACTATTTGACACCAAACCGGTGGTAAGTGCTGAACAAATCAGGCTCTTTGGGTCAAACAGCCATTATTAAGGTAACTAGCCACAAATTGGGACCCGCCACACACGCTGCCTGCTCCCCGGCGGTCAGTAAACACTTGGGAACCAAAGACTGAGAATATTCCTTCTGTGGACCTTTAGGAAAACGGAACGCCTAACTTCGTGGGTTCACCATTATTGTTGGCAAGCGTTAACCGAAACAGCACTCTTATCGACGGGGAAGATCCCCTTAGTATGTGCCCCATTTAAAGAGTCCTCAGCTCGGCGGATCACTTCTTGCAAATCGGCCGCTCCGAGCATCTCAAGAAGCCAAAGGCAGAACATCTGGCCGCAGCTGGGTCTCCCCGGCTCTGAGGAAAGCGAAGTTGCTTCGCCCCACTCTGTGCACCGGGTGGCCGCCGTCCACTCCCTCCTGCGCCCGAATTCCCTGTCCTCTGGCGCCAGGTCGCGAGGGCCGCCGCGCTCTCCGCCCGTCCCGCGCCGCGCACATCCGGCCGCCCGCCCCCGGGAACCCGCCGCGGCCGCAACCGCCGCGGCCGGTCTGAGCGGCCCACAGGCCCGCGTCGGGAGGGATGCCGGGGATCCAGAAGTGTCTGGAAGAATCCAGGCAGAGCGGGAAACGGGCGGGGGAGGGTCCGGGCAGAGCGCTGGGGGATCCCCAGAGTCCGAGGGTCCCGGGAGAAGGGGGAGGGAGCAGGCAGCCAGCCGGTGGAACGATCCAGAAAAAAAATCGTAAAAGCGCCTTCAGCACAAGAGCCCGAACCGGCTCAGCAGCCGCAGTCCTCTAGAAACTTCTCCACCCCCGCCCCCCGTCCCCGCTCCTGCCCCGGCTCCCGCCGGCCCCGCCCTCATGGCGGGTGGGACCAATCGCGCCCCTCGCAGCGCGTTCCCCTCCCACTCCCGCGCCCGCGCCCGTCCCGCCGCCACTGCGAGCGCCGGTAGCAGGGGCGCTCGAGCCTTCGCCCGCCCCGCAGTTCGCGGCCGCTGCGCCAGCGCCCGCTCGCCTGGCAGGCAGGCAGGCAGGCAGGCCCGGCGGGCGACAGCGCTGGGCTCGCGCCCGGTGTCCAGCTCCCGGAGTAAACGGCGCGCCAAGCGGCGATGACCGCTGAGGAGATGAAGGCGGCCGAGAGCGGGGCGCAGTCGACACCGCTGCCCCTCGAGGGAGTGGACCTCAGCCCCAAGCAAGATGAAGGCGTACTAAAGGTGAGGGGGGGCGGCCGAGGGCCTGCGGGGGCGGCCGGGCCCCGGGCGCCCAGCGCGACCGCCCTTCCGCCGAGCTCGGGAGCCCCCAACCCGGGCACGGGTCGGGGCTGCCGGCTCCGCAGCCTCTGGACCATTCCCCGGGTGGGTCGTGCACCGGCGGCCGGTGCATCGCCCTCCTCGACCGGGCTGCGCTGTTGGAGTGCGGAGGGGGCGGCTTCGGTGCGCAGGCCGCGGCATGGCCCTCTCCGGGGCCCTCGGAAGCCTGTTTCCGGGCCCCGGCCCGCAGCGCCTGGGCGCGGGCGGGGGGCCGAGACTGCGGCGCCAACTCCGGCGTGCGCGGTGCTGCGGAGAGGGGCGGGGCGGCCATCGGGCGCACGCGAGCCGCGGCTGGGTACGGGCTGGGGGCCCGGGCGCGGGCCTGCTCCGACGCCGCCCCCTCACCTCCACCCGACCTCGCGGCCCGGCCGAGCTGCTGGCTCCTTCCCTACCAGCCGCAGCCGGGAAGTCCCTGGGCCACCTTGTCGGTGGTGGCGCGAGAGCTCGCCCACCCTGGCAGTTAAATATTAGCTAGGAGGTGGAGCGGCTCCCGAAAGTGATTTCCTGGCCCAGAGGCCTTTTGTGCGGCTCGGCGCCCGGGCCTGGCCGCGAGGAGGGTTCTGGCGTGCCCCGCTCCCTCGGCGCCCGGGTCGGTGGAACCCCGCGGGGCGGCCGGTTCGGCCGGGCCCACTCCCTCTGCTCGGGGAAAACCGGGGAGCAGTGCATGCTGGGACCTGTAGTTCTCCTCCCCTCGCCCCCACTTAGCCCTCTGGAGTTGGGGCTTGGGGTGTGGGGCGAGGAGGAGGTGCTTTGCCTTGCAGTCTGCTGCTGAGTAACTGCTTGACTACAAATAGCCCGAGGAGCGAGGGGGAGGGCGTCTTGACCTGGGTCAGGACAACTAGCCACAGGTCAGAGCAGGTTCTGCCGAGAGTCCTGGATGGCGAAATCCTTAGCCTGCATTTCATGCCTTCACCCCATCCATTGTTTCTTCTCATCCTGACTTCCCACTGCTCAGTTCCCCGCGTGTGCCACCTACCTCAGGGAGCCTTTACCTGGTCTAGAAGTGCATCTGGCTTTGCCCCAGATACTTGGGACCTCATGCGCCTGCTATAGCAGCTCTTCCTGTAGGCATGTGGCTTTCCCCTCTCTCTCCATCATCCTGCTGCTTTTATATTATACAGGTTGTTATTGCAGGAAGTCCTTTTCTCTTTATATTCTTCACCCCTTCCCTTTGACTTTTCTATTTCTTAAGGTCTCTTTCCACTCTTTCATGGAAGTTTTCCCTCAGGTTAACCACAACTTATCAGGTAGCCCGTGGTGTCACCTTTTGTAAATGCTAAAGAAGAGAAGCAGAAAGAAGCCTGTAAGTTCCTGGGAAATACTCTAGCCTTGAACTTAATTATCCTACCAGTAAGGACTACTCATGTCCCAAGTCAGAGTTCAGGGGCGGATGGAGAGCCTCTGGGCTTATCTGTAACATGATTTTTTCTTATACCTGTTTGAACTATTCTGTTCTCTTTGTTACCCGTATTCCTCTTGTTCTCCTTTCTCCAAACCATACCCGGATCAGATGACCACCGGCATTTACGAAAAACAAGGAAATGCAGCATAAATACTTCCCCCTTTGCTGCTGATAATAATAACCTTTTATTCAGCCCTTTAAAGGTTTAATCTTCCAACAACTCTAGGAGATAGGGATTATCATCACTGGCTTTACAGTTAAGATCCAGAGAGTTTTAAAAGGCATCTCCATACAGTAAAAACTTTTTACCTCACGTCTTTTGTCTTTTTTCAAGCCAAGTCTTGCTGTACCTCAAGGGTGCAGGGAGGTTAGTCCACTCCTAGCCAAGTTACTAGTAACAGAATCATTTGAGGGTTGGTACTTGAATCTGCTTAAAAGTAGGCAGGGGCAGGGAAGGGTGGAAGCAGAAGAGCCCTTTATATTCCCTTCAGAGGCTTGTGGGCAGTTTTGGTGCCCCTTTCTGCCCTCATCCCTGGCGTACTCACTCTCTCCCACTTCATCCCAGGTCATCAAGCGAGAGGGCACAGGCACAGAGACGCCCATGATTGGGGACCGAGTCTTTGTCCACTACACTGGCTGGCTGTTAGACGGCACAAAGTTTGACTCCAGTCTGGATCGCAAGGACAAATTCTCCTTTGACCTGGGAAAAGGTAGGCATGGTTAGTGGGCTGGTAGGATAGGCTTCAGGCTATCACGAGCAGAAACCATATTCTCAGAAACAGGCTCAATGACCAGCGGTTTATCATAGTCCATTACTCTTTTTTTCTTCTACTACTCTGTAATGATATTGATCTCTATCTCCCTTTCTTATCACCTCTCAACACCTCACTCCTCCTTCAAGGGTAGACTGCATTGCTTCTTAAATTCCTTTGTAGGGTCAAATGCGCTGTTAGAGTTCTGAGACCAGACGGGACTTAATGCAACCAGGCATCTTACTTCCTGGTTCCTTTTCCAGTGAGTGTCCAGCTTCCCCATGGTGTGGTGCAGTAACGCTCTCTGGGAACACTGTTTGAGCCCAGAGTCAGACTCTTGATAAGGGGGTCCTGTTTGCCTCTCTGTACCTGCAGGTGAGGTCATCAAGGCTTGGGACATTGCCATAGCAACCATGAAGGTGGGGGAAGTGTGTCACATCACCTGCAAACCAGAATATGCCTACGGTTCAGCAGGCAGCCCTCCAAAGATCCCCCCGAATGCCACGCTTGTGTTTGAGGTGAGTGGCCGGCCACAGAGATCCAGGCAAAGAGCCAGGCCTTATCTCAGCCTGGTGGCTGGCTGCCCTCCAGCCCTTCCTGCCTCTTGGAGACAATGTAGCCAAGGCTGAGGGCCTGGCCTTAGGGGAGGAGGAGAAGTGGAGAAGGCAGCTAGCCATGCTGCTGCCAGGTAGGAAGGGGTAGCTGTGAACCCCCCTCCAGACTCAAAGTGTAGAGTAAAGGGTTGAGGCATCTTTATCTTGAGAGGGGTACCTGGAAGAGATGGGTTTGTCATTTTAACTGAAAGCGGTCAGAAACTGTGCACAGTTATAAATGACAGTATAGAATATTGGTAGTTCAGAGATGAGAGGAGAGAGAGATGCCTCTCTTGGGAGGTCAAGGGGTGAGGGAAGGCCTCACTAAAGAGGTGGAACTTGATACTGTTCAGTCCAAAAATGGCTGAGCCCATCAGTGGACATTTGAAGAATGTCCAGAAGACTTCTAAGAGATGGTGCTCATTTCTAATGCCCACCAGATTGGGCTTCTAAAGTAGCCTGAATTAGGATTATTTGGAACATGTTCTTATTAAGTGGCGCAGGTAGCAAATATTTGCTTTCCTGAAGTTAACTTAAATTCGTATGACCTGCCTACCTCTACGAAAGCAGGGACTAGCACAACTCGCAAGAACTTAGCAAAAGTGCCATTTTGTCGAACTCCTCATGTAACTGCCCTTGAAGTCAGATCTAGTCTGGCAGTTACTAAGAACTCTCGGGACATGTTACTAAGTTGGTTTTTTGTTGTTGTTGTTGTTGTTGTTATTGTTTTGAGACAGAGTCTCACTCTGTTGCCTGGGCTAGAGTGCCATGGCGTCAGCCTAGCTCACAGCAACCTCAAACTCCTGGGCTCAAGCGATCTGCCTGCCTCAGCCTCCCGAGTAGCTGGGACTACAGGCATGCGCCACCATGCCCAGCTAATTTTTTCTACATATTTCTAGTTGGCCAATTAATTTGTTTCTATTTTTAGTAGAGACAGAGTCTTGCTCTCTTGCTCAGTCTAGCATCGAACTCCTGACCTTGAGAGATCCGCCTACCTCGGCCTCCCAGAGTGCTAGGATTACAGGCGTGAGCCACAGCGTCTGACCTGGACACGTTACTAAGTTTGTATTTCACTGTTGATAAGTTAGTATGAGAAGAAATTGTGTCGTTTTCACCTCTTGTCCCACAGGTGGAGTTGTTTGAGTTCAAGGGAGAGGACCTGACAGAAGATGAAGATGGCGGAATCATCCGCAGAATACAGACTCGGGGTGAAGGCTATGCCAGACCCAACGAGGGTGCTGTCGTGGAGGGTGAGACAGTATAGTCTGGGATTTCATCTTGATTCTGATACTTAGGCCCTGGGTGGCTTTGGACAAATTTCCCTTCTCTGAGCCTATTTTCTCCTCCATAAAATGAAGGGCTAGACCGTACCCTGTTTACATCTCTCCAGGTCTGAGAATAAGATAGCGGCATCTTGGGGGCAAGAAGTGATGGGGTGATATAGGTAGACTGATGGCATTTTTCCTAAGTCACCTGCCCTCTCATGCCCCTGGTACCTTGCCTCTCTTTAATGCCAGTTGCACTGGAAGGGTACTACAAGGACCAGCTCTTTGACCAGCGTGAACTCCACTTTGAGGTCGGCGAGGGGGAGAGTCTGGATCTGCCTTGCGGGCTGGAGAGGGTCATTCAGCGCATGGAGAAAGGAGAACATTCCATTGTGTACCTCAAGCCCAGGTAAGGGCTGGGCACTTTGTAGAGCAGGAAAGCACACCAAGTTCAGAGATGTGAATGTCCACAGTGAGT